TTATTATATTATTGATTATAATTTGAAAAATTGCATCATATCTTATTTTAGAGAACTATTTATCCAGTTTGAGTTATTTCCCTTTGCACAGAAAATATTATGGATAAAATTACTCGTCAGTTGTGAAACAATGTTTCATTTCAACATAAATTAAATATATATAGGGTTCTTTCAAATGCTGCATCTAAACCTGTATTCAAATATTAGATTTTTGGGCCCAGTTTTCAAGTTGGTCAAAATCAGGGTCCAAAATTAAACTTTGTTTGATTCAACAAAAATTGAATTTATGGGGTTCTTTGAAATGCTGAATCTAACCATGTATTTAGAGATTTTGGATTGTGGGCTCCTTTGTCAAATTGGTCCACATTGAGGTCCAAAGGGTCCTAAATTAAACTTTTGTCTGATTTCATCAAAAATTGAATTATTGGGGTTCTTTGATATGCTGATTCTAATATGTACTTAGATTTTGGATATTGGACCATATTAGGTATTTAAATGTCCAATTTCAAATATTTCACTTCTTTGACCACATTCATTTTGTGTCACAAACCTATGCTGTGTCAAATATTCAATCACAATCCAAATTCAGAGCTGTTTTAAGCTTAAATGTAGTGTCCATACTTGCTCAACTGTTCAGGGTTCGACCTCTGCAGGAAAATCCGGTTTGCTGTCACTTTGACAGCCTCTTGTTATTATTTTTTATAAAAGAAGAAGATGCTAAAAACACTTAAATATATTTATAACAATGAATGTTCATTGTTTTTTTATGCACAGAATGCGTGACTCATATTTGCGTAAATTCCCTCACCTGGTTATTTTCAAACAAGGTACCATGTTCTTACAACAACTCGTCCTCGGAACATGGGAGATGATTTATAGTTTGTATTTTTTTCTCAAAATAGTTATTCTATATTCTGCTTTGATTATTATATTTACAGTTTTCATCACTTAGAAAAATAATCATTATAAAGATATCTTTACTTTCTAGGTAACATGTTCCCATGTTTCGCGGGTTTTTCACAAAGAAAGGTCAAAGTTCAAGCCATTCTCAAATCTCCATTTGGTGTTTGTTAATACTTTGCAATTTTACTGCAACCCAACAGAAATGAAAATATTTTGTCAAGGATTTCTCAGCTGTTACGAAGAGAATAATTTGCTATACGGTCTGAAACTTTCTGATTTTTAGTTGTAGTATGTAAGCAGTTTTTTAGTCTGTCGTATACTCAATGAAAATATGAAGGGATAAGGAGTAAATGTACATGAGACAATATTAATATCAATACATGGTAAAACCCCAAAATGGAACGTTTTTATTGTTGTCCTTAATCTTCAAGTCACTATGAGGCATTCAACAATGAGCAATATTCCTCATAACTGGTAGTAAGTTCAAATTGACCCCTCACATCGGTTTGAGCAGAATTCATTGTTAAATATCATACAAAGCTACATCCATATATTTAAATGTCTATTTGTTGATACTTCAAACTTTCACCAAAACCGAATAGAAATGAAAACATTTTGTCGAGGATTTCTCAACCTTTACTGAGAGGAATAATTTGACATTTGTTTGGTTTAAGATTTTTATATCTTTTGTCAAACGAAGTTGGGGAAGGGATATAGTGTTTCATCTGTCCATCACAAAGTTAAAGTCCGTCTATCTGTGGAAGTATAAGTCATAGTTCATGAGATTTTGTTCATAGATGCGTCTTGAATAACCAAGGGGTACTGATAAAAATAATGTCAATTTGACCTACATTTCATATATGAATGACTGATTAAAGTTTGCGTTAGAGTCCATATCTGAGATACAACTCGTGGAGAAAAAATATTTTGTCAGTAGATGCGTCTTTAATAGTCAGGAGGGTCCTAGAAAAATAAGTCATCTTGACATAAAATTCATGGATGAGTAAATGAGTAAATGAGGTGAAAGGCTGCGTTAAAGTCCATATCTGAGACGAGGAATAAAAAAATTTGTCCGCAGTAGATGCAACTTTGATAGTCACGAGTTTCAAAATCAAGACTTGAAAATGAATTAAATGATATTCCATTTCATCAACTGTACAATTTAGTAATATTTTATAGCATAATCATTAACTAATTGATTGGATTGGAACAGTTCTGGCAATTGAGGATTCAAGTCAACTCAATATACAGATTGTTTATATAAGCATTTTGCACATTTTTACACCGAAAACCTCCGTACTTCCGGCCCAAAAATTTGATGCGTGCACCAATTAACTCTCTTGTAATGTATAGAATGGTGTGCGTATTTTAGACTAGTGGTATTCTAATTATCGATCGAGATGATATCAAAAGACTGTCGACGGTCATATAACCCGATTGATTTATAAATAGTAAGGCAAGCACGTGTAATTAAATAATGGCGATTTGTATAGATCTATTTGATTTCATGCTATAAATTAAAATATATGTATATCATCGTTTTACCTGTATAAGAATTATTTGTTGTTGGCCGGATCAGTCAACGAAACTGTTATTCCTGGTGTTGTCATTGTTACACTTTTCGATGTTGACATTCTTTTCTTTTTAATGAATGAACCAGGTGGTAGAAATATGCGCAACCGATCTTCACTTAGATAAATATTAAAGGTTGCATGAAAACAAATTCATTTGAGATTGTAATATTGACATGCAAGTCAATCAGTGGGAAATCTAGTCACCCCCTGTAAACACTGAAAACTTGATTTTTTCATTATTTGTCCGTTTTTCGCAAGAGTGTTATCAATGATAAATTCACGAAAAAACGTTCTAGTAAAAATATAAAAAAATAAAAACAAGTTTAAAATAAAAACTCAATTTCTATTTAATGTTATCATTTCTCTCCTAGCAAACGACGAGTACAGCAAGCTGTAGGAGCTTGGTGTAGAATTGGTTTAAAATGTTGCGATGTAAATAAATTCCTGGAGTATCGACTTCAATTTTTTTTCAACTGGCTGTTAAACTCTCTGGAACATGCCAATTATCCGTATATGTATGCAGCTAGATCAGAGGAGTTCAGGGAGAACTTTTCAAAGGAAACGATTGATATGCAGCAAAGATAAACACTTTTGAAATTAAGTTACTAAGCAAATCCAAACGGACCTTATCCCGATGTAAATTTTGAACAGATCGAACAGACCGCAAATACATGTACAAAAATCGAGACGACCCTTTTTTTGTTTGCATGAAAAATAGTAAAAAATCTTTTAACGGATAACAAACTTTATAAAAATATTTATCTTTAATTTTTTAACCTTGACAGACAGACTTTTAAATGGCTATTTTCACGAAGAGACAATATTTCTATATTGAAAGTTGAATGGACACGTGACAAGAGCAGACCGGTGTACTCGAAAACTTAGATGTGAAAAAAGGTATATTTCGGAAAATTGTAACATGCTAAGTACTTTGTGGAACACTCCGAAAATTGGTTACCTGAAAGATCTTTAGATTTTGTATGTACATGATTTTTTTCCCAATTATTTTTTTTATCAATATGCAGCAAAGATTTACATTTTTTAGATTTCAGTTTTGCAATCTACTAATGCAAATTATCTCGATAAATGCTGAACATAAAACTTCGTGTATTTGCATGTGTATTTTTGATAACACAGTTTAAGAAATAATTTCTTTAAAATGAGCGATTGTTGTTTAGATATAACTTTTGATCATTATCGTCACCGGCATTGTTTTAATATTGATTGTCTCGACTTTTTCATAAGAACAGTGAATCATCTATTGTTCCCGGTCACTAGATTTCCCACATTGAATAATACATCAGCGGTGTTTGATAGCTTATATTGACGAAATTGTACCAAACTGACTGCTAATAACGAAATGTTATTTCTATATTCTGCTTTCATTAATGATTGAATAAAATCAGATTTTATCTTTGTAACTAATTGGTAGCTTATGGCCCTTGAATATGTATTATCGGTAGGTCATTTATAGGCTCTTGTGCATTTTGAGTATACATGGCTTGTATGACTGAAACTCATCTAACCCAAAAGTGTGAGAAAGGATCTAAATTCTGAAATCGACATCCTTATAAACTTATGCATTTTTGTGGATTGCATAAACCTTTTAGTAACTGTCAATTTTTTATACAGATACAAAAGTGTCTAGAGGAGATATATAGATCCCACTACTGCATCAAGAGTGTTACGGTAATTCTCCACTCGAGACAGTAAAATTTTAAGGCTTGCCGAGCTTTTGAAGTAACTTAAATTTAACTATTGAGAGTAGAGAAATATCGTAATACACGAGATAAAGTGGTAGAATATGTTTCTCTAATGATTTTTAGACGATATTTAAACATAGTTTGTCCTTTTTTTTTTTTTTTTTAGATTTGCAGAAAGTTGTGTTCTTTATATGCGACGTCATCAGACATGGTCGCGTTTTTACATGACGTCAGAACAGGAAATTCAAAAGAAAGCAAGAAAGTTTCACGTCATAATTGAATTTCGACCAATCATTTGCCGAGAACAAAGTTTTCTCTAGAGATGAGCAATATTTTTACCACACCGATCGAGAAATTTGAAAAAAGCATGAAAATTAGAGAAAAACTAATAACAAAAATGTACAACTCTAAAAAGAGTTTTTTTTCATTGAGTAAATATTATATATAATGCTTTCAGACACGACAATTATGTCTGTTCTAAATTTTTTGATGTAATAATATTTGTACTATACAATGGTATTGTTCTAAATGAGACCAAATTCAGAGAAGAAGATTAAAACTTCAAAAATCTTGATCAAGTTTTTCTTGTTATCAAATTCATCGGCATAAATGATGTATAAAAGAGAGGCGAAAGATACCAGAGGGACATTCAAACTCATAAGTCGAAAATAAACTGACAACGCCATGTATTCATAATTTACTATGGTTTATCCTTTTGTTCAACACCTTTGTTTTCCAATAAGTATTATCAATTTTAACGGACCAGTTATGATGTTTGAGGAAACTGGAACTGGGATATATAAATCACGTTTATTTTCAGCAGATCAAGACTTAAATGGCATCATCCAGCACAGTTTCATGTGGTGTTTGTGACTCTCAGCACACGACAACAAATGCTGACTACTGGTGCCCTGAATGTGACGAAGGACTATGCTCCCAATGCCTGAAGTATCACAGTGCATCAAAGGCCTTACGTAACCATGATATAATATCTGTCGACAATTATAAACAACTACCTCCCTCGATAGCCAATATATCACCATACTGTTCACAGCATGACAGAAAATTCAAGAATTATTGTCCGCAACATGAAAGTATCAGTTGTCCACTGTGTATTCAGTCCAACCATGCTAATTGTGTTGGGATATTATCGCTTGAGAATGTCATACAGACAGCAAAGACTTCAGTCTTATTGGAAAGTCTTGATCAGAATCTGAAAGATATCAAACTGAATTTCGAGAGGGTTGTTAAAGATCGGACACAAAATCTGGTTGAAATCCAGAATCAAAGGCAGAAATTTCACGATGAAATAAAACAGCTCCGTAATAAAATTAACGAGCACCTAGACAGCTTAGAACAACTAATACTTCAGGATCTATATGCTGCAGAAGAAAAAGTTAAATCACAAATAGAAGACTTCTTGGGCAAACTTGCTGAACATACGGAAAAAATGGATCTTTTGCAAACTAATATGTCAGCTATCAAAGAATATGCGTCAGACCTACAAGCATTTCTTGGAAGTAAAATGGTTGAAACAGAAATTAAGAAACACGAAATATTTATGCAGTCGTTATTTGAGGACGGTAGTTTACAGAAGATAGACTTGAACTGTAAAATTAAGGACAATTTATCCGACGTATTGTCTACTGTTACTTCATTCGGTTCAATATCTGTTGAATCGAATTCTCCATTGGTGGTATTACAGACAGAGAAAGACAAACAAGCACAGATTCGAACTTTTCATCATGCACCACCTACAACTGTCAATGATATCAAAATGACATTAAAAAGAAAATTTGAATTTACATGTGTCACAGGGTGTTCTTTTTCTAGTAAGGGAGACATCTTCCTAGTAGACTACGGCAAAATACGTCTTCTGATCTTAAAGGAAGATGGAACCTTGCATAGTGACATACCTTTGTCAAATCAAAACCCAGTAGATGTAACTTGTATCGATGACAAGACAGTCGCTGTTTCATTTCAATCTTCAAATCAAATTCAAATCATCAACATTTTAACAAAAAAAATTGAAAGCATGATAAAAACAACCAGTAGCTGTCAAGGTATATGTTACGCAGATGGCCACTTATTATGCTGTAATACTGGCACAGGTATACAGAAAGTAAAAGTGTCAGACAATCGCTCTTCTACTTTGGTTAAAGACGATACCTTGTCCGGGTGGAGTTTTGTAACAACATCCAAAGACAAGATATTTTATACCAATAGATCAAACAACACCGTATCATGCTATACTGTTACTGGAGAGAAGAAGTGGGAATACAAAGATCAATCAGTTCGTTCTCCGAGAGGAATATCTGTAGATAAAGACTCAAACGTTTATATTGCTTCATATGGTAATAATATTATAATTGTATTGTCGTCGGATGGAAAACAAGTAAGAAAGCTGCTTGGGACAGTTGACGGAATTAGAATCCCTTTTGGGCTCGCGTTTGATGTAAAGAAAGACAAATTAATAGTTGCGAATCATAATGGACCTGTATTGTACGAACGCTGTTAGCAGACAGTTCTGATTACATGGTTTATAACTGAAAAACGAAAATTGTAAAAAATACTTAAATCTGCCTGAAATCTATTGACAACAATTTCAGAGTTCAAACAGAATATTATGATTTTGTTTTACAAAATTTCATTTTAATTCATTGCTATAAGGTGAAATATCATGTCTGGAAAAAACATTTGACACATGATCAACAATTTCCTGGATTTATTTATTTATTGTGATTATTTTTTTTTCAATACTACAAAAGGAGAAGGGTCATTTAAACCTCTTTGTATCTCCCAAATGCGCTTAAAGTTATTGTTCTTTAATGTAAAACACTAAATTTCAATGTTTTAGTATTGTTGCAATTGAAAAAAAAATCATATTTAAGATCGATATGACCTATAAAGGATCAAAATATTCAAAGAATAAAATTATTGAAATATTAGAAAAAAGAGGCGAAAGATACCAAAGGGACATTCAAACTCATACGTCGAAAATAATCTGACAACGCCATGACTAAAAAAGAAAAAAAAAACCAACAGACATACAATAGTACACAAAACACACCATAAAAAACTAAAGACTGAGCAACACGAACCCCGCCAAAAACTTTGGGTTATCTAAGGTGCTCCGGAAGGGTAAGCAGATCCTGCTTCACATGTGTCACCCGTCGTGTTGCTCATGTTATTACAAACCCGGTAATAAGTATAATTTGCTAGGTTGCATTCGGGGAAAAGGGGACGGGATTGTAGTTACGACATTTGGAACATACCCGTAACCATCTGTGAAATAGTTATTCCATAACGGTCAACCAACTCGTGATGGCGTCCGTAAAATTTACGAAGGGATGATTTCTACTTCATCACTTAGAACTCTTGGTTTAATAGCTTCCTTGTGAGCAGCAACTCTCTATCAAGAAATCATGATAAGAAATACAAGCCCTGGAATATCTTATCAACTGGGAGATATATACTCTGTATTAGAATCTTCTTTTATAATAAGTGCTTAAACAATAATTTTCATGCAGAAAGCCATGATCTCAGTTCTTTTTCTGTGGTTGTCAGTTGCTCATTTGTAAAAGCCAAAATGTTGCGTTTTCAGGGAAAACGTTATTTTGTGACCTTTCATGTCATAATATCCTTTGATAAAGATCTACCAAGACAAAGTACTAACACGTGACCAAATATAGTAGTAGAAGGCTTTTATACGCCATCAATTCTCTATCTTGTAAACGTTTATAGCCTAATAAGTCGTCATATTTATAGGAATTGTGGCAAAGGAACGCTTTACACCAAAATGTAAAATCTTGATTTTTTTTATTATTTAGATAAAAATGTGAAATTAGGCATAAATTGTCCCTGTAGTTTTAATCAAATAAAATTTGGTTATTCTATTTATTTGATCGTTTGGAAGTGTATTACTCGCATACACTCCATACATGTTCTTTATGTAGTATAAAAAAAACAGAAAATTTGTACCAGCTAAAAAAGCTAAAATCATAATACTTACTTTGTCACATTTTCCAGGAAAGATCACGAGTATCCCCTATGGTTGTCTTTCTGTTTTTAAAATTGTTATTATTGTAAAGATTTGTCGAGCAACGAACGATCAATTTTGTAGTGACTTTTAAGATGAGTAACAGTAATAAACAAGCCATTTTCTGACATATAAGTTATTTCGTAATATTTCCTGGATTTTTGGCCTAATAAACATATATCTCATATGTTTTCATTGAAAACACCTCATGTAAATGATAATTTTGAGGACAATAGATTGTGGTGACTATCCAAACAACTGAAAAATAAAAGATTTGGTAACTGAATACTTGTGGCAATAATAATGTATCTCCCTTTAAATTCAAAATTTCCATAAATGCCTTATAAAACCTTATTAAATTTTGTTTTATAGAGCACCAAAAAAGGCAGTTACGATATTCTTCAGTTTACTTATTTACAACATCAAATCTTTTTGATACACAAAACAGCAGTTTTTTTGCAGAGCGGTTTCTTTCAAAAACTGACAACAAATCAGTTTGTCCCAAAATTTAGTTAACGTTAATGATTTTTTAGATAAAAAATTATTTTTTCTTATACATTTGTTTGACCTACATTATTTTAATTTTTTTTTTTTTTTTTTTTGTGAAAGTCAGGAATATGTTCTTTTATTTAAGAAGTTTATTGGGTTTTTTTCAGGGCATTCGTTTCCGGCTAGATTGGCATAAGGTTGAAATAAGCACAAAGTGAAAATATCCTGCCTATTTTATAAAACTTTCTTCACAAAAAACTATACATTTACCTGGAGAAGATAAATTTTAAGTGCAAACAAATGTTGCTAATAGTGCAAATACATGTGAACATGTCATAAAAAAAGCATTACTTTGCCTTAAACTGTCTAAATATTTGTTTCAAGGCAATGATTTGGAAGTAAAACAAAAACCTCGGTAAAAGAAAATATACCTAGTGAAAGTCACTGCTCAAACGAATCAGTTTATTTCTAAAAGGATAAAACAACAGTTTAATTCCGACAGTAGTTTTGTTTTGGTTTTATTTTTGCATGGCCTTTTATCTATGTTTGGATACATACTCAAATGGAGTGATGTCAATTTTCACTGAAATTCATTCACACACAGTGTCAAATCCGACGGGTGTTAAACTCTACTAGAATTACATATGAAAGAATCTAACTCATGTCATTAATGATTTAACCATTTTAATATCACACAAATTCATGCAATCAAAATGTATTGTTAAATCACAAATCACAAATTATTCAAGTTTTTATTAAATCTTACATAATAAGCCGAACCATGGTTATTTTGTATCTGAAAAAAAATCGATTTGTTTTCAGTAGAATTTGGTTTTTGTTGCAAAATTTATTTCTAGCAGAACATACTCAATCTACCCAAAATTGTAGTCTTCTTTAGACATTCAGTCTTATATTACATATTCTAATTCCGCTATAATATTGTTAGAACCTTAAAGTACACTCATGAAGCTGTGAGACTATGAATTTAATGAAGATTAAGACTTTTTGAAAATTGTCATGGTGTGAAATAAATTCAGGGAAATCGGCCCTCACTCTTTGCAAAAATGACATATTGGATAATCATTAATCATTTATAAATTTAATCAGTGATTGTTGAATAAGATTGAGCGTTCTTATTGATGGTAATCCAGAAAAACACCACGGACGCATATAATGTATATAGTGTTATTTTCAGGTGCTTAATAACTTTATAGACAATGCTTTTTCAAATTTAATGCTGACGAAATTAGTCCTATATTTCTTTCCTATGTTAACTAGGATTCATCTAGAACTGGCTAAGTTAAGTCATTCCGCATAATGCATTGCAAATAACCTGGTTTTTGTGTACGATACAGTTTACCATATATATATATATATATATATATATATATATATATATATATATATATAAAACAAGACTTAATTGAAAACAACGTTCAAACCTATGATTGCGTTGGATAAAAACCGCAATTTTTATACGTGTGCATGCAAAGCAAATTTCTTGGTAGAGGGGTCTAAATACAGCACAAACAACATTTTTCAAAAGAACAAATATATACATGAAAGTCGTGTTGGCACCAGAAAACTAGTCAGGAAAAGGTCAGAAAACATAAGAATATGTACTGTAACTTACAATATCAGCAAGAGGAAAATAAAAACAAACTGTGTTATTTTTTACAATACAGCTTCACAGTTCAACTCTTTGTGCAAAACCGCCAAGAGTTTGATGATTAGCTATCCAGTAGTGTAATACAAGATACAAGACTTTTTGTTTGGATGTTGGATCTACTTTTTCTATAAATACTTTATTGAGATAAAAGGGGTAATATAGGCAAATTACATATAGAAGGACCTACTACTTCCCCTGTATTTGTTTCACTCACACGATTAAAATTTAAAAGCTGTTGAAACGGACCAGATTTTGAATTTTGCAGAGTCTAGATATTATTTTTTTTAATTTTTGTTTAACAATTTTACATTTATATATCTTAAACATAGAAAAGAAATTATTCAAGCGCGACACAATGTTATATATATTAAAAGCAATTTTGAAAACGTTATAGCAAGTTGCATGAGTTTGTAAAACTTTTCAACGAATACATTCAAACAATATGAATCAATGTGTATCTGTCAGAAAATCCAAGGCTCTACTTCAAATAGAACAGTGTTTTGTTTAAAAATGTTCATATCAGTTTGTTGGAAAAGAACTCAATATTTGTCAAAATCCATCAAATTTTTTACATGCAATTTAATTGTTCTATATCCAGACGTTTATAATTTTGTTAAATATCCAGAAATACACTATTATGTTGTTTAAAACAAAACTGAAAGTATACACTATATACACTGAAAGCTGCTATATTGTGAATTTAAAGATTCAAAAAGTTTTTTTAAATTGCTATGATGTGAAATACATTAATGGAGAATTTTGCCCTTCCTCTTATATGAAGAAAACTTTCCTTCATCCGGGAAAGCTCAGAGGAAAACAAAAGTAACAAGCTAAAAGATATCATTAAACACAGCAAATCGAAACAACACTTACAAAATAATACAAAAAATTTACACGAAAAAACTTGAACAAGAATGCTAGTTATGCTGCTTTCGAGGGCTTTGCCTGGATTAACGTTAATAAACAATAATTCAATGTTGGATGTAACACGTCTTCTGATTGGCTGAAAATTTTTTGCCTATCAGCTCATAGACATAATTTTGTCATGATACCGTGACGTTATCAACGTTTTTTCATGATTTACTCCTTAAAAGTGGAATTTAAAATTAAATTATAAGGAATGACTGTAATATTTTTTCACTCTATTCGAAATAACCATAAAAAAATATGGTGCACACTTTTAAATAACACGCTACGCGGGTTATTCAGTGTGCACCACATTTTTGATGAAGACAAGATTTTTATAACCACACATAAGGTACGCTCTAGACGGAAAAAGTTCGGAAAACCAAAAAAATAAAAAAAATAAAACGTTTGAAGCATAAAAACCAAAAGCACCTAAGATGACACCAAAAACCACTAAAGCTCAACATAGTCTTACAGTGTTGCAACCTTAATTTTAGTGCAAGATTATAAAACAAAGGGATAATGTCTTATATTTTCTGTTAAAATCAATTTCGTAACTCTGCAACTACGCATTATACATTCAAGAGTTAAGGTGGTTCATCAGAAGGATGTTTGTGTTTACACCACAAAGTTTACTCTGAGTACAGACAAACCTGTACACCTTGAAAAGTTTTCAGACATGGCAGGAACTAGATTACTAAAATTTAAATGCACTTTATTGTTCAGAAAAATAAGAACTTTCCTGAATTGTAAACTCCTGTTTTTCCAAGCCTGCAGAAGATGGTAAAATAAACAAACACGTTAACTTCATGTGATTCGACCTACTCAGTTACGCTGTTTAAAATTACCTATAACAATAATTCTTGTGCAACCATCTATCTGTATATTGCCCATTTCAGTCAATACAATTTCTTTCCAATTATTACA